AGCTACGGACGCTCTCTGGGCAGCGGGTGTCGATCCGGCGCTACCGATGTACCTTCACGACCACTTCCCCTTTTTCGCCTTCGAAATTTGAGAAGTGTGAGGATGAAGGTGACGCCGTATGAAAGTAGACTTTGTAATGCTTGAACGCAAATTGCGTTTTTGTAATTATTGTTTAATCGAATAAAATGGTTTATTTCAAAAGTTTGTATTCCATTGTGAATTTTTGTTAAGCATCTTATTTCGAGTGTTGGCACGTTTTGTTTCGTTTATGCCGTTGTGCCGGCTCGAGTTACATTTCCCTGCTTTGATGTGCACTGAGGGCGCTCCGAATTCGGAATGTTATTCGGCTTTTGGAAGCGTTATTGGCCCAATGGCGTTATGCGCCGAGGGCGCTCCGAATATGGAGACTTCATTGGCCCAACGGCTTGACGCGCCGAGGGGGCTCCAAATCCGGAGGCTTTATCGTCCCAACGGCGTTATGCACCGAGGGGGCTCCGAATCCGGCGGCTTTACTTGGCCAATCGTGATATCCACAAAGAGCGCTCCGAATCCGGAGGCTTTATCGGCCCAACGGCGTCATACGCTGAAGGCGCTCCGAATCCGGAGGCTTTATCGGTCCAAGGACGTAGAGGGGGCTCCGAATCTGGAGGCTTTACTTGGCCAATCGTGATATCCACGAAGGGCACTCTGAATCCAGAGGCTTTATCGGCCCAACGACGTCATGCGCCGAGGGCGCTCCGAATCTGGAGGCTTTATCTGCCCAACGGCGTCATGCGTCAAGGGGGCTCCGAATCCAGAGGCTTTACTTGGCCAATCGTGATATCCACGAAGGGCGCTCCGAATTTGGGGGCTTTATCATCCCAACGACGTCATGCGCCGAAGGGGCTCCAAATCCGGAGGCTTTATCAGCCCAACGGCATCATGCGCCGAGGGGACTCCAAATCCAGAGGCTTTACTTGGCCAATCATGATATCCACGAAGGGCGCTCCGAATCCGGAGGCTTTATCGGCCCAACGGTGTCAAGCGTCGAGGGGGCTTTTTGGTCGGAATGCCCTTTTTAATTAGATTTTGCAGAGGATGGGATTATATCTGCCCAATAAGAATCCTTGCATTTACAAAGGAGGAATATGGCCATGGAGAATCATTTTAGAACTGAGATCATTCCCCACAAGTCGGGTTTAATGACAATTCTTGAGTTCCAAGGCCGTAACGTGTTTCTGAGCCGATATGGAATCCTTCCGATGACCGCGTTAGTCGAGGATGTTTCGATTCGGTATTTCGGGAGGGGAACAGAATGCTGGTGCGGAGTGCCGGGAACCACGAATTTGCTCAATACTGTGTTGGGTAGGAAAGCGCAGCAGCTGATGGTAGGTGCTAGGCACGGCTTGGATAGCATGCAACCAAGTTCGCCCCATAATGATATTATACGACGATGGGAGCTTAATGACCAAGAATACTATATCCATCGTTCGGGAGCCAGCTCGAACGGGTAGTGTGATCTTCCCCAACGGATACTCTGGATTCGTGTTGAAGCCAAACAATAGATGGGGAGCCGGAGACAGGTCTGATTGATTGAAACCGAGTTTGACGAAGGTTTCGTAATACATAACCTCGGAAGTGCTTCCTTAGTCTATGAAGACGCGTTCAACGACGAATCGGTTTACGTGTAGCTCTATGACCAATGGATCACTATGGGGGAGTGTTACGCCGATAAGATCAGAATCATTGAAGATAATACTCGGAGCTTCGTGGGGCTGCTTCAATGGTGTGCGTTGCTTCTGGGGGGCTTGAATTACGTGTACGGCAAGTGGCGTTGGAAGGTCGTATATCATATGAATGATGCCGAGCGGAAGCGAATCCTGCCGAAGGGCAACAGATTTGATTGTGTTCTTTCGCACGTGTTGTTGAAACAGACCATCTTGCACCAATTCCTCAAGGTGGTCTTTAGAGCATAGCAGTTGTCCGTATCATGACTGTGATCTTTGTGATATTCACACCGTCTGTCCCGTCTTCTCGTGTCGAGAAGTCCCACCATTTTGGATGGCCATTTAAAAAACGGAAGATGTTGAATTTGGGACATAACCAAGCTGATTGAATCTGACAGCTCTATATATTTCTTGTCGGCGCGCTTTGTGTGCCTATTATCAACTTGCAGTTGCTCATTTGTTCGGTGTGGGCACTGATCGCTTGGTCGACAAGAATCTCGTTTCTTCTCTCGTTTAGTCCGTTGGCGTGGTTCAGGGCTCTAAGGAGGTACGAAACTTATTGGCTGGGCAATCTTAGGGGGGGACGTTTTGGTGGTACTGTGTCCGCCTTTAACCCCCAAAGCGTCATCTTCTTCTTTGCAGTATTCTTCTACTTTCTTCATCAACCCCCAGACTATTTTGGGGGGTCTTTTGGTCAAGGAACTGCGGATGGCACTATTTGGGTGTAGTCCCATTTTGAAGGCAGTGATGGCCATGGAGTCATTGCAAACATCATTTACAAGATTAAAGCATTCCCAGTATCGTGCCGAATATGCTCTTAGCGTTTCTCCTGGCAGGATTTGCATTGCCCAGAGAGAGTCGGCTTGTTTCGGCTGGACCTCATTTGTGATGAATCTGGGCCTGAAAGACTTCTGTAATTGATGGAAGGTTTTAATCGAAGCCGGCTCTAGTTTGTAATACCACCTAACAGCCAATGGGCCCAAACTATTGGGGAATATTCGGCACATGAGGGCTTCGTCATCTGCATGCAATGTCATGGCTTGCTTGTAGTGGCGGATATGATCAGTGGGGTCTGACTTGCCATTATAGAGAGTAAATGACGGAGCTTTAAACTTTTTGGGCAAGATTGCCCTTGCGATCCGTTGCACAAAAGGATTATGCTGGTCCTCGTCATCTGAGCCGTTTCTTCTGTACTTATGCCTTACGCGTGGGCTCTCTTCAGAGGAGCTGGAAGTTGTAGGTCGTCATTTCTTTTTGGGCTCCGGAGATAGTAAGTCGGAGTTGCTATCAGTGTCTTGTTGCCGAGCTCGAGGTCGTCGACCACCTACTTTCAGAGGTCCCTCCGGGTCTTGGCGCACGACTTGTTTGGACTTTGCCACCTCTAGTGCCAAATCCTGACAGAGACGCTCGTTCTCAGCGATCATGTTCTCCAACCGCTGCTCGTTTTACTTTGCCTGCTCCATGATCGCCTGCATTGCCTCATGTTCTGGAGTCGAAGGTAAACCGTAGTTCAAAGCGCGTCTTACGGGGTTATGCTCCGGTCCGTGCGTGTTTGTTGGAGTGAAGTCGTCTATCTGTGTGGTGTCATCAGCGACTATTGGAGGGTTCTCCGTCGCGTCCGCCATGGATGTACTTGAGTATTCCCACAGACGGCGCCAATTGTGGAGAAGTGATTTTTGGAAATACTCTTCTAATCCTGGGGGACGCTCGTGATCCACCGATAGGCACCTGAAAGGAAGTAAACACTCCGGTCGGGGGTGCCGGAATTAGTACTCTGACGGACAAGTCAGTCTCTCGTTCTAGATTACTTGTATTCTAAGTTAAACACCACAATTATCACGTACCTTTCTCGGTCTGCTATTCCTTTATTTATACTCGTTCCCTAGGCCTTAGGGCCAGGTCCACTTTTCGCTCATTATGTTCATATTTACTCAACTCCATAGCTCGGTACCTATTCAGCCCATCTACCCTTTATATTCGACATCCTGATGATTCTGGACAGAGCCGGACAATACCTGTCTGTTAAAGTATGGCTCCTTTAAAATTCGACTCCCATAGTAAGTTATTCATTGCCTCTTTAAAGTTATTATTAGAGCATCCACAGTGGGATGATTAAAAAAATGTGTTAAGTGCTTTATATGACAAAAAGTGATAAAAATAATATTAAAAAATGTGTGTTAAGATGTGTTAAGAGTTTGTTAATTTTAAAAAGTGAATAGTGTTGCAATAGATGTGTTAAGAATATATTATATATATATATATGTCTATATAATAAATAAAATAAATAAATAATTTAATTTAATCAAAAATTTCAAACTCAAAATTAAATTTCAAGCCAAAAAAAAATCCCAAATAAAAAATAAAATAAAAATCAGTTGACCACCAATTGACTGCCCGAATGTATGGTCGGTCAACCGGTCAAACCTAAACTATTATTATTATTATTATTATTTTCCCTTTCTTGAAGGGTCCAGACGCCCGAGGTGAACTTCCGACGGCAAACGTCCGGAAAAACTTCCCTAAGCACACATCTTTCTCTTCCTTTGCTAGTTAAAACACTGGTCACAGTTAACACACAAATTAACAGCTGATACTAACACAACACTAACATACCTACTAACACACCCATTGCAACACCCAACAGTATTTTTAGCTGATCAAAAACTAACACCTGACACTAACACATTCACTAACGCATCCATTGTGGATGCTCTTAGTTGATCGGTTATGCGAAAACAGGTTGAGCCAAATAATCACACAACAAAATATTGTGTTATTCCTAAAATTAAAACCAAACTTAAATCAACTACTCCAATAATAGTGTCCCAATCAAATGCCCAAATTGCATCATTAGACAGCTCTCAGGCCCATTGTGGTGGGGTGGGGTAGGCCTTTCCAGTTGGTTGGACGGACCAGTCGGTGGTCATTCTTCCTCCAAGGGTAGCCACCATATGCTTTCTTTTAGTAAAAAGTAAAATAAAAAAGGAGTCCCCCCACCATGCTCTCTCTCTCTCTCTCTCTCTCTCTCTCTCTACTATGCATGTGCTGTTAATCCAATCATTCCTTGCTTTATAAGCAGCACAACATAACAGAGCAGAGCTGTGCGTGTGATTTCAGTCTCTACTATCCTCCTTTGAGACCTTTTCTTTCTGATTCATCAGCAAGAACACAGTCCTGTTTTTTTCCATCAAACTGAAAAACATTCCATATGAACAATCATCCCTCCCAAGTCCCAAACTACATATGAAGAAAAGAAGAGTAAAATTATCATACAATTTTTGCATTCACATAAAATTACAAACCAACCGTACATTTATTACTCTGCTACTTTATAGAGATATATAATGAAGGAATATATATATATATATATATATATATTGATAGGAACAGACTAATCAAACAATCACCTTTACAATTTACAGAGACAATGGGGAGTGATTAGGGGGCCACCTTTAATTTCTTCTCTCTCTCTCTCTCTCTCTCTCTTATTAGCTTAGCTTAGCAGTAGTTTCCCATTCTACAGAGCCACTATTACTGCTGCTGCTAATATTAACAATAATGCCAAAGAACCCAACTTTGAATTGGAGGGGAAATGGGAATGGGCATGGGAATGGGATGGGTGATTGTCAGATCTACGGTGGGGGAGTAGTAGTAGGAAGAGTGAAGTTCCTCCCATTCATTGTCACTCTCACTGCCCATCCCATACATACACAGCCTGACCCAACTCATGCACTCCCGTGAAAGGGTCCAACTCCTCTACTCCTACTTACACTCGGCTGTTCTGCTCAGCACCCCCACCCCCTCCCAACACACACGCACGCACACACTCACAGAGACTACTGTTGTGCTGTTTACTTGAATGTTTGTTCACATCAGCTTGGTGTCGGTGAGGCTGCCCCATCCATGAATTTTGATTTTTTGTAGAGAAATTAACTTCTTTTTAGAAAGAAAGAAAAAAGAAAAAAGGGGGGGGGGGAGAAAAACAAATTTATGAGAAAAGATGTACAGAACCAATGGAAGTGCGCTCAAAATCTTTGATAGTGGGTATGAGCTTCTTCATGTTATCATCGTAAACATAAGGGAGGTTGTTGAACCACGTGATGTTGTTCTTGGCGGACATGGGCAACAATACTCTGCAAAGCTCCTCATGGACAGTGATGGAATTGTGGTAGTGGTAATACCTGATCTTGGTCTCTGTCTGGTGCAACGTCCCCCCTATCACATTCTCCGACATGTGCACCCCTGTCGAGTATGCATTCTTAGCCTGTATTGCGTATTTCCTGTCTCGCCGGATCTTTGTCCTGGAATCCCTAAACACCAGCTTCTCAAACCCCCATTCCCTGCACCCACCACCACCACCAACCCCAACGTTAAAAAACATAAAATCCCTTCATCAATTCCCCCTACCAGTGCACAAGGCATTGAACGGAATTGAACAAGAAAACGAAAAAAAGGGAAACGGGAAACATAATCATTACGATTTGGTAAAGAGCTAGTACCAATACTCACACACACACACACACACACTCAATTTTCATTGTTTGACTATTTTCCAAAATTATACATCATCTTTAACATCTTTCAAGTTGTCTCGCAACCCTTTTGCTACAAAGTTTTTCTTTATTTAAAAAAAAAAAAAAAGGAGAGAAATATTTCATTAGAACCAGAAAATGCGGAGAAAGATTAATGGAGAAAATTGCCAAAAAGAAAGGACAATCTGTTTTCCTATTTTCTTCTAATGTCATATAGTTTTGCTACAAGTAAACAGAATATTCTGAGGGAGCAAAATGAACCCTTCTTATGATGGTTAGGGCTTTAGATCTGAAGCAATTTGACATGTTTCCACAACAAAATCCCCACGGTACACCCCTTCCTCTGCCCAATCCCAATCCCAAAACCCAACCACAATCTAAAATTTATGTGTCACCCATGAACCAAAGGCACAGTGCATCAATCAAAATCACAGGATTCCTAGTAGTTGTAGTAATCAGTGGCTTTTCTTCATTGAAATTTCAAATAGAAAAATCAGTGAAGTCATCATCCAAGAAGAAAACGACGGAGAGAGACCTTGATTTATTGGGTTTTCAAAGCAAATAATTGGCAGTGGATGTGTGAGAGAGATATATATCATATAGTCTAGATAGAGAGAGTAAAGAAGGAAGGAATATTCAGAAGAGGACATTCTGTATGGGGGGGGGGGTTAGGGAAAGCAAATTGCGAGAGAGATAGAGAGAGAATGAATACCTGGAATAATTCCGAGTAGAAGAATCATTTAAGCAGAGGACACTGGACATGGCATTTTGCTCAATCGTAAACTGAGTATTATTGGAGAATTCATTCAAAACAGACTGGAGAGTGTTCCCATCCGGAAGGTAGATATACTCGTCCACATCAAAGTAGAATGTCCAATTGGCAGCGTGTCGGTACCGGTGGAGGCAATCATTGACCACCAGGAACTGGTTGTAGTAGTACCCGTCGTATTCCGCCTGTGCCCTAATGTCCTGAATCGTCACCCTCCCTGCTCTCACCCACGGCTCCAGCACCGCCTCCACCTCCGCCGATATTCCTCCGGCGTCGTGGAACACGAAATGCGAGCTCTCCCCGAAGAACCAGGCGTGGTATGCCATCCATTCCCTCATTCTCGCCGCGCTCAGGTTCCCGTACAAGGACGAACCACAATACAAGTAGTCGTACTGGTACGGGGGTCGATACTTTGATTCTTTGTACGACCCCGGTGCTTCCTCCAAGGCCGTGATCTTCTCGTATCTCTTGGGCGATTCCCCGTAGTATGCGTAGAGGATCAGCTTGCCGCCCGCGTTGTCCTCGTTAGGGGTGACATTGAATGTGCAATTGACCACCACCACAGTGTAGACACGGCCGTAGCCCCAGTCCGGGAGCATTTTGTAGGCCTTGGCCTTGAGGGAGCTGGAACGGTTATTGTTGTTGTTGGGGTTGGAGATCCACTCGCATTTGTACCAGGGGCGTCCGTAGACGTGGATGGGCTTAGAGGCGAGGCCGACGACGGCGAATGTCCTCGGACCACCGCGGTATGCGCCCATTTGGACGAAGAGAGCGGCGGCGTTGCCGTAGGCGGAGAAGAAGCGCTTGTTGGGGTCAGTAGTGGTGAGCTTCTCCTCCATCTTCTTCTTCTTCTTCTCGGCCAAGGAGGTGGCAGTGATAGGGAGAGATGGCATAGTGGGAGTGGGAGTGGGAGAGGAGGGGACAGAGGCGGAGCAGCGGCTGGCGGCGGAGAGGATGTTCTCGTAGTAAGGTTGGAGGTTCCAGATGACCATGACGAGTGTCAAGGCAAGCAATGTGGCAACTAAGGGCTTCGTTTCGAAACAGAGGAACACCTTTCCCACTGTATTGCCGGAAACTGAGGCTGCCGCTGCCCCATCCTTCCTCATCTTCCGGCGGTTGGAATCCAAGGCACTCGCACTTGCAGTCGCACCGACAGTAGTCTTTGTTTGAGTCCTGATGATGATGATGATTGAATGGAAGGATGGATCTTAATTTAATTGGATGAATGAGTGGCCAATGCGGACCGACAGTACTGTGTGTGGTCAATCAGATGTATAACACACGCTTCCACCCCTAGGGCATTTTATTTATATTTGGTATTGCCCCTTATTTGAAGAATTTGAGTAAATTATAAATAGCTCTTTTAAATTTGATTAAAATATAAATTATTTTTTAATAATTTTAGAAATTATATTTTATTTTTTGAAATTTTTAGTTTCATAAAAAAATTGTTTATTTTATTAATAAATCATTAAATTAATTAATAATTTTTAATGATATTATAAATATATTTTAATTAATAATTTAAGTAATTTTATGCCATGTTTGGGAAGACTAAAAAAGTGCACTTTTTGTCTTTTTGGACTAAAAAGTTGAGGTTGAAAATATGGATGTTTGGGTTAACTTTTTGACTTTTTATTGAAAAATGTGTAATAAAAAAATTGTAAAAGGTTTGTAGAGGAAAATTTGAATTGGGAGTTGTGCAGCCGTAATTGTTGACTTTTGGTGAATAGTGTTAACTTTTTAACTTTTTGAGTAACTTTTTGGCTTTTTGGCTTTTTTTAAAGTCCCCAAACTTGGCCTAATTATTGTATATAAGAATAATTATAAATTTTCTTTTTTTAATTAATTTCGTTAAATAGAAAATTTTAATAAAGAAATACTTAGAATTTTCAAATTACAAAATATAATTTATAATTTAAGTAAATTTTAAAAATATATTTATAATTTACCCGAAGAGTTGGTTTCACATCGTCACTCATTTACCATAATGCCACTTCACTTCAGCTCGTGTCGCCGAGCACAGATTCTCTCCTTGCACTCTCTTCTTACAAGATCTTGACCGGCCTTCATACCAAAGAGCCCAAGTAGCTCGGCTCCGCAGGCCCTTTGCCATTACTGAGCAAAACCACGGCACAATCTTGAAGCCAAATACCTCGGCCCAATCTTGTTTGGCCGAAATTAGATCATAAATCTCCCTCTCACTATTTTTTAAAGAATTTAATAAACAGTTTTCCGAACACATACTTTTTGATATCCGATCAACTTGATTTTTTACAGGTATGATATATTGAATAAATCTTAAAATATGACGGTTTGGATTATCAAAATTAGGCCTAAAAGTGGACCCGAAAGCCCTGCAAAGAGAGAGTGCAAGGGAAGGATCCCAATTTCGTGCCGCCCCCTATAATTATTATTGTTATTTTATTTTATTTTTTTCTAACAAAACAAAAAGAGTGATGCAGGCTCTCTCAGGCCCAGCCCTTCTTAACAAAAACAATAAATAAATAAATAATAAGTAGATGTTATGCATCTCAAATAAATTATTAAATTTTTTATCAAATCTTTTATATGGGTGTAAGATCCGCATAAATTATATGTGTGTGAGTCTCATATCAATATAAGATATTTGATAGAAAATTTGATAATTTGTTTGGGATCCCTAACATAACTCTAACACATATGTTTGAATAAGGGTTCGTTTGGCATGAACATTTGGGTTGGATTGACACTATTTTAGTCACAAAAAGATAAAATAAGTTAAAAAATTAATAAGGCAAAATGTCATATTCAAACTATAGTCATTTCATTTTTTCTCTCACAAAAGTCAAAAAGTTCATTCCAAATGAAGCATTGTTTAGCCTCAGCCTAAAATAGCCAAAAAACTAGCCCACATCTCAAACAAAGACTAAATTATACTTTGCCCTATTATGTTTGATTCATTTTTTATTTTGGTTTTTAAAGTTTTTTTTTTTATTTTAACCTTTTAAGTTTCAATTTTTTTTTTAAATTTATTTTTAAAATTAATTTTTGTTAAAAATTAGACAAAACATATACATTAACAATCATGCGGTATAAAAATATTTTACTATAATTCACATGTCTGAAACAAATTCAATTTCCAATATAATATATTTTTTATGACATTTTTCTATCTAATTTTGAATAAAAATTAACTTTAAGAGTAAATTGAAAAAAAATTCAGACATAAAAATTCAAAATGAAAAATAATAAATTTTAAATATCAGAGTAGAAAAGTGGCGAAATAAAAGAGAAAGTGTAATTTACCCAAAATGTATCACCTGTTTTTCACTCTCTACATGAGAGCTTATCGTCCTCTTCTTCAATTTTTTAACAATTATTTTTTTATAAAAAACAATTCTGGCTATAATTTTTAATAATTATTTATAGGAAAAAGGTTGAGACGTTTTTTTTTTTTTTACTCTTACCACCCCTAACGTATTAGGATTGGCCAGCTTTTTGTTTTTTATTTTTTTTCCTATCAGTCACTGATATGTATCTATGGAGGGTTGTGGAGGTCAAGAAAAAATAAAGTATCTATCATTTCTGTTATTTATATTCAAGTAATCAGCATCCTCATAGGCAAGGCAACCAGTGAAAGGGAATTATAACTACGGCACGAATGGGTAACAAAATTACTAGTCTATTGGTATTATATTATCAGAGTATATAAGATAAATTATATTTATTTATATGTTGGAGCAGTGATATTAATTAATTATGATTAAATTTATGAAATTATATAAAAACTATTATATAGGACTCTTTTGGATAAAGGGTTAAAACTTAAAAGTTATTTTTTGACTTTTAATTTATTTTGAATCACATCACCTCTTTATTTTTTATATATTTTTTTTAAAAAATCAAAAAATTAACTTTTGACATACTTTTCAAAACAACCCATAAAAGATAACGGTTGTTTTTAAAAATTGACTCAATTTTTTTTTGAACTTCTAAAATTGTCTAGTCGATATACATTTAAAAGAATTTTGACTCATAATTTAAAAAAAATAAAATAAAAGAAGGTAAAAGAAAATTAGTTCACTATTTAATTTAGGCAAGAAAGCCTTTACTTGTAAACTTTCCAATAAAAATTCATAAAAATATATTTGATATTTGCGCCAACAAATGGGGAAAACATATAAAAAAAGCCTTTAATTGTAAACTTCCCAATAAAAATTCATAAAAATGTAATTGAAGTTTGCGCCAACAAATGGGGAAAACATAGCGTGTGACTTTAACAGCAAAAGGCCTTGATCGTCCCTGCATCATAGGATAAGGGATCACTGATGTGCTCAAAGCACAATAGTAATTATAATGCTTTTATTAAAGTATATTTGTAAGGTTTGTTGAGCACTTCATGCTTACTAAAAATCATATTAATCGAATATCAACAAATATATGATCGATAATCAAGAAAATAAATAATAAAATTTTCTTTTGAGAAATTGTATGAACAATATACAATTCGATTATATAGTTATTGATATCCGATTAATATGATTTTTGATAGGCATGAAATACTCAACAAATTCTATAAAATGACGGTTTGAATCATAAAAATAAAACCATAATACACTTTAAATCAAGGTACCACAGTCACTGCTGTGCTTTCAGCACATCAGTGACCTCTTTTCCTGCGTATTATATATTTGGTGATGTGATAAAGAGTAGTAATAAACAAACAAAAAATAAAATAAGACGAGGGTAGTCATTAAAAATCATATAAAATGAGTGGAGGGATGTGATTAATTTAAATCTTATTATTTACTACAAAATAAGAGATCAGTAAGGTGGTTTTTAAGTGTCTCACTCTCACAAGGGTCTCGCAAAGTTCCTAACAAAAAGCCAAAAAAAAACAAAAGAGGGCCTCACAAGGGTGTGAGAGGTTGAGAAAAAAAATGTAAATATCATTTCCTAAAACAAATTAAAAAAAGAAAAAGAAAAAAAACTTTCTCTAGGTTTGCTATGGTCCTCACCTATCCGCATGCGCTTAAAAGTGGACTTGAAACCGTGGTTTCGTTTGGGAGTAAAATATTTTAACAATTTTTTTAGCTAAAATATGAAATAAAAAAATTTAATATATTAGAGATGACTTTTTATAAATAAAAATATATATAAAAAATAGAGAGAAAATAGAAATTTTGACTTTTTTTTGTATAATTTATTGATTTTTTAACTTTTTAAGCGATTTTTTGACTTTTAAACTAAAAGTGATATTCCCAAACAAAAGTTTAATTTGTTAATTTTACTTTTTATCTCTTAGGCCATGTTTGTTTGGGCGGAATAGATTAGCATTCTCATGACTAATAATTCTGGGATTACGAATCCGTTAGATTATGTATCCTATCTTAACTAAAAGTCAAGTTTAAAATAATTAGTCCGTATTTCAATTGTTTAACCAAATATCGGATTAATAATTTTATTGGACTATTAGTCCAATCCCAAACTCATGTCTACCCAAACAAACATGGTCTTAGAGTGCTGCTTGTGAGGTACATCGAAATATTTGGGGGAAAAAAAAAATGGATATCAAATTGAGTTTTGTGCTTTATATATAGTAGGATAGAGTATTTTAAATTTAAGTGTATTTCAAAGTAGTTGTATTTTTTAGTTTCTAGGTAAAGTTTAGAATTGAACCAATTGAGAATTTTTTAACGTCCAGTTGTGTTAACCTAGGGTTGTTTTGGGAAGATGGTAAAAAGTGACTTTTTGACTTTTAACCAAGTTTTTGACTTTTTTAGACAAATGATTTGGGAAGTTGGTAAAAAGTGACTTTTGACTTTTTTAATTAATATTTGTTTATGATGTCAAATCATAATAAAATGACTAAACTACCCTCATTTATTTAAAATATTTACAACTGAACCTATGTAACACATTGTGACCCATGAGGAGTAAAATTGTAATTGCACCGTTGGCTAAAAACCAACTTGTCAAATGGAAAAAAAAAGCCAAAAAAACCAACTTTTGGCTTTTACTACTAACCAAAAAAAGTGACTTTTAGCCAAGTTCCCAAAATAGCCCCTAATTCACAAGCATTTTACAATGAGCAAAAAAATGTTATATAGGTATGTGAAGTGAACAGTCATTATTTAGGAGTGTTAGTCCCAAAACTTATGGCTAGCAAATTGAGAGTGTACATAAAACATATATACAGAGGGACATGAGGTCACAAGTCTGGGACCCTACCTTCGTACATGATTGATTCAGAATGCAAATAATTGACACCACAAAAATAAAAGA